TGTCTCCCATCCCCTTCTCTTCTCCTTTAATTAAATCAAAATAATATTCTCACCCACCTTTTCTTTTCTCTCTCTAATACCATTATACTATATATTAAATTAATTTAATTAAATAAGAGTTATATACATATATATATATATGTGTGTGTGTGTGTGTTTTGTTTTAAAACATTATCTTCCAAATGAACATGACATAATTGTTTAATTATGAAATGTGAAGATTGAAGAGTGAGGGAGGGTTAGTATTGGTTATAAATGTGACATCTATCTAACTCAAATCAAACCAATTCCCCACGACCTGCTCGTACTTTGATTTAATGAGTTCCCACTTCACTCACGACAACTACTTATATACATACATACATGTACATACATATATACATATATGGGAAGGCACGTGTGTACGTATTACTTACTGCATGTATTTTATATTTCACATTAAAATTAGTACACTCCAAACTTTTATGTGTATATAATTAACTTGTCTCCGATTAGGTTGGCAAGTGAATTTCTTAATTTAGAAATGCAAGTACTTATTTTTCTAATTTACATAAAAGACTCCAAATTTAAGATCAAGTTTGAGTCTAAAAGTGTACGTGTAATTTTTTAATTGGTAAATACACATTTCATGTATATTTATAAATTAATTATGGGTATTCAGATTTTTATAAACCTTGTTTTTCTTTTGAGGAAAAACTTTTATAAACCTTGATTGAATCACATATAAAAATCTAAAATACAAATGATTTTTTTAAATGAAAATGATTATGTTAGATATTTTTTAATTAACTATAATTATTTCAATTAAAGAAATTTATTTACGGTCAAAGAAACTTAATTTAATCACAACAATTCAATCAACACAAGAATAAATTAAATTTTTAATCAAAGTAGATTAAATATTATGGATAAGTTATTATTAGTTTGTAATATATTTATAAAGTGATATATTTTATATAATTAACAAAATTTAAAATTGTTACATTCAAATATCATAAGAATTTTAATCGTTAGATTATTGATTAAAATATAAACAACGTATTAAACATGTTTAAACTTTTAGAGATATAAGTGATGGAGTGTAGTTGCAGCGATGTATTTTCTAATTCATATTTTTTTCAAATAACACTATAGAGTAATTGCTAGAAGCTATATCTATTTCACTTTTTAAAATAACGGCATCCCTTTTAAGACAAATATTATATATATATATATATATATATATATATATATATATTATACACACACACACACACACTCTATATACGTATATAAGAGTGGAGGAAGACTTAGGTCCGGTGTAAATATCAACCTATTGAATTAAATATAGTTTATTCATATGTATTTAATCTAATTTTTACGATAAGTTCACCGCCGTACGGTTCTAATAATGTGAATTTTATATAATTGCCTCAATTTAATACCATAAAAAATTAATATAATTGTATTTAATAAATTATAAAGTTTTTAATTAAATGAGATATTAAATTTTTTTAATATTTTAATTTTATTTAAATTTCATCTCATTTTAAATATTTTATATATGAGAATATGTGTTGAGTGTATATAAATATATATATTATAGACAATATAAAAAAATAAAAATGACTTTTAATCTGTCTCAAATTTTTTACGAGGAAGAGTAAAAAGAAAGGTGAAAGGAAGCAGATGGGTTAGCGAAGGAAATAAAAGTCCAGCAGATCAGAGAGCTTTCCATTCGGTGATGGCATTAATTCACTCTTCTCTACAAGTATATACACACATATCTGTGTCTGTATATGTGTCTATATATATATATATATAATATAACAATAGCTATTCACATCACACCCAACCAAGAAGATTGAAAGCTCATTGCTGTGGGGTGCGGCTCTATTCACCCTATATATATTCACCTTATGTATATCTCTGTGATGTTTTCTTTAGAATCAAAAAATTATGTTTGTTTTATTATGTGTACATATATAATATATATATATATATATATATATACACACATGCATTTGTATATATATATACATAATAAATACTTCTGACGAAATTCATTAAAGAGTTATAGAACGTGAGTAGTGTTAATTTTCTTTAGTTAAATTAAGCCGTTAAACTTTGATGAAGGTCTGCACTGTTTGACGTCGATATATCACCGAAATATATAGATGTATACATCATGTTTTTATATAATTCACAAAAGGGTAATATATCAATAATTACAACCATGTATATGTAAATAAACTAGTAGTCATATTCAGTAGTGCGGCGAGGAAAAAACAAAGAAATTAAAGAGATGGACAGAAGAAGCTCATGGTTCATAATTGTCTCTCATTGGTACATAAATGTAAGATGAGAAGTAATGTAAGACGATGGATACTGTCTGTATATGTAGTTCCCAAGTACTAGAGATCATGGGCGGGATATATATATATATATATATATATATATTATAAGGCCTCATGACATAAATGAAGGTATATACACATTTACATATACATGTATAGCTTAGCTACCTCTGGCCTAGGGAACCATTAGTGAAGGAAACTTAAACAAATGTAATTTATGGTTTTTACCCCCTTTGAATTCATTTGGCTGTCGGCAAAACATGGCATGTGTGGCTAAGAATATAACTTTCCTTTTTGAATGCCATAGATTGAACAACATAAAATAGGCTACATCAAGGGGCGAGGTAACTAATGAATAGTTGAGCCACCAAACTCAACAAATCAAGTATTGATAGGTATATGATAGATATTTTAGGAGTATAATGTATCTACCTTAACTCATCTAAACTAATATTCTTATCACATACATAAAGTAGTTTATCAAATAATTTTTGCCTCATAATTAAATATTATCACTTACCATTCAATGTCATACACATCAACACTCATTACTATTCTCTACTCTTAAAATAATAAAAAAAACTAAAATAAAAGAAAATGGGTCCTAAAAATAACTTAGCATAAGTCAGAGAATGAATAAAGTTTGGATTTTTTGGTGTTTCAGCTGGACAATTCTCAACTGTGTTTTTGTTATCTTGATGGGTTAGCTTCAAGGCTATATTTATACATTGAGCGACTTAACCAGCAAGGAGAATATAGAGTAAGAAAACAAAATGAGACAGAGGCAGCTGGCACTATTAGTGGCACCTTAGTTAAAAATCAGCGGGTCAGATGCTAACAAACACAATGACGCTTTTTGTTATCTGTGTCATTAGAATCATTCTTTGGTGAGCTGGAATAAGCTGATCTGGAGGGCTAATGTGGATGCAGGAGCTGAGTTGGTGATGTGGAAGATTTGATAGTCATATTTCTTACATCCCCCCTCAAGCTTGGCAAGGGAAGAGATCGTTCAACCAAGCCAAGTTTATTTCAAAAGTAGTTGTATTGTGACTGCAATAGAGCTTTAGTAAGGCAATCTGCTGTTTAGTCACACGATGGTACATATCTGACATCAAGTGATCCTTTTAAGACCTTCTCTTGAATGAAATGAATGTCGACCTCAATGTGCTTCGTTCGTGCGTGAAAAATAGGATTATTGGCCAAGGCAGTGGCACTTGTGTCATCACACTAGGCAATTAATGTTTGATGAATTGAGAAGTTGACTTCCTTGAGCAACGATTCAGGCTAGGCTATTTGACATGACAATAAGGCCAATGCTTTATATTCAGACTCAGTGTTTGACATGGAGACGACACTTTGTTTCTTGAAAGACCAGGACACTAAATTTTCTCCAAGAAAGACACAATAACCAGCAATGGACCAACGGTCATCCTTGGAGCAGGCCCAGTCGGCGTCTGAATATCCTGTGATGGTTAACCAGTCACAGGGTCTTACATGAAGGCCATGGCAGAGGGTCCTTTTGAAATATCTGAGAACTCTTTTTAGGGCCTTCATGTGCAAGTTCGTTGGTTTCTGCATATATTGGCTCAATATGTTTACAATAAAAGAAATATAGAGTCTTGTGGTAATAAGATATTGAAGAGCACCAATGATTTGCCTATATGGAGTTGGATTAGGCAGAGTTATTCCTTCTTGTGC